GACACTTGGGGGCTGCAAGGAGGCCTCCATGGATCTTCATGGCCTTCTCCAGGTCCCCAGGCCTGACTTAGAACCCTCTTGCCCATAGGAGAACCTCTTGTCCCAGTAGCTGCACTTCTGCAGTGCAGGAGTGCTTAATGGAGCTGGGCGGGTGCCACAGGGCGGAAGGTTGGTGCAGTGGGGAGTGGGACAAGGGTGGGATGGTAGGGCTGAGATCATACATGGCACTGAGACCATATGGTGGGACCTGTATTGTCCAGTGGGACAAAGAGCATCCATGGGAGCACCAGGACAGACTGTGGGACCAAACCATGCGGCACCATTAACACCACGACAAGGTGACGACGCCAAACGGAGTGCAGGAGCAGAAGCACATGGTGGGAACAAAACTAAATGGATGTGTGAACTGTGTGAAATTTCACTGCAGAGAACATCAAGTAAATCCCTTTCCCTTTCCTCCTCCACCCCCTCCAAAAAAAAAAAAAGAAAAACCACAACAACAATCAAAGCAAACCAAAACAAAAACCAAGCAGCTCCAGGTGAGGGCAGTTTGCAGCCACCTGCTACTTAAAGGCCTGCAGGGCTGGGGCTGTGCTGCTGCTCTCTGAGGATGAGGCTGTTTTGGGTGCTGCTGAGTGGGGCTGTGCTGGGAGCAGCAGGTGAGCAGGGCTGGTTGTAGGGGGGAGGTGGGGAGTGGGTGACCTGCTGCTGGTTCCCAGTGTTCTGCTGGTGGAGGGGAGCTCTGTGAGCTCCATGTGTCCCCAAGCTATTTCCTCTCCATGAGCTCCAGGGATACCTGAGGAGCTGCATGTCCCTAGCGTAGCTTTGGCACAGCCACCCCATCCCCAGCCCTGCCAGTCAATCTCTCACCTCGTTGCAGAGACCACTGTGGCTCCAGCTGCTCCAGCATCTTCTGGTCACACAGCAGTCGCTCTGAGGGTGTCCCTGGGTGTGGGGACACAAACTGTGGCCCTAGCGCCTGCTGTTGCCACCCCACCTGGTGGGCTGTGTGCTCAGCCCTGCTTGGAGGAGCCCCCTGTGAAGTTTACCTTAAGGCTGCTGGATGGTGAGTGCTCTGTGTTGTGTGTTAAGTGCTAAGTTGGGGGGAAGGGGAGATGAGACCAGAAGATGGAGCCTGGCAGCCATCCAGCAGGGGATGAGAGCTCTCTTATGTGGAGGCTCCAAAACCTGGGGAGTGCTGGAGGCAAAGACCCCTATGGTTGGTGCTCTGAGCCAAATTCTATGTCCCATCTGCAGCAGGATGCTGTCCTGAACCTTCCTTCCCTTCTCCTTCAGGGGACCCCGGTGCCACGAAGAGGCCGTTGGTGCTCAGCCGCAGTGCTGTGCTGCACCTGGAGGCCAGGGCGGATGCCAGCCCCGATGTGTCCCCCAGGATCTTGGTGGAGCAGTGCTATGGGATGGGATCAGGGCAGCAGGCTCACCCCAGGAAGAGCTACATGGTGGTGAACAGCCATGGGTCAGTGGTGGGGAAAGAGGTGCTGGGGTCAGCCTGAGAATGTCCCCAACTTGTCCTTGGGTCTCCTCAGGTGTCTGCATGGCTCAGGGCTGGGCAGCGTGTCCGTCCAGCAGCAGAGAGGGATGTCTGTCCTCCAGCTCTCCATCCTGGCCCCTGTGCTGGAGGCTGAGCCTGAGGAGGAGGTGAGGTTGTGGTGGAGACCTGGGTCTCCCCAGCTAGTTGTCCCCCTGTGGGCATTGTGCCACTGTCCCCAGCAGCTCCTGCTTCCCAGTGGGGTGGTCACTGCCCCAGGGGAGGCCATAGAGGTGGCAGTGAGGATGGCTGCTGTCTTGGCAGGTCTACGTGCACTGCCTGCTGTCAGCATGGGGTGCCAGGAGGCACAGCCCGATGTCCTGCTTCTACAACGACACCACGGCCAGGTGAGTTCGACCAAAGGACCCTACTGGGAGGAGTTGAGACCCAAAGGGATCTCCATCTACGGGCATGGTGCCATGTGTATCTTGGGGTGGAAGCTGGGGACCCACAGATCCCCAGATCTGTCCTTCCCTCCCAGGTGGCAAAATGCAGAGGATCCCTCCCGGAACACCGTGTGTGATTGCTGTGACACTCAGTGTCCTCCTGGTGACACTGGGCTTGGAGAGCAGCCAGGTACGTCCCTGGGGGCTGTGCTGGGTGAGGAGGGCTGCGGTCACAGTGGAGCTGTAGGGTGTGCATCCTCACAGAGTTCCCAGGAGAAGGGATGCTCCACTGGGAGACAGCGGGCCCACTGCTGGTGCAGGAGCTGGAGCCATGGTTTGAAGGTGAGCAAATGACCCTGAGCTTCTCCCGATGACCCCAAATCGACTGACTGCATGGGAGCTGGGCTCCCCATGCCCCAACCCCACTAACTGCTTCGTCCCGCAGCGCCGTGCCGCACGGTGAAGAAGCTGCTGCTGGCTGGGCTGGCCCTGGTGGGCAGCATTGTGGTGGTGGCCGTCATCGTGGGCAGTTTGCTGGGCTTGGGTCTGGCTGCATGGAGGCTGCGGGGAGCACGGCCTGCCCAACGACCCCCGAGGAGGCAGTGTCCCTTCCAGGCTGAGCTGCAGGCTGTGGTGGGAGCTCTGGTCACCCGGGAGGAGGAGAAACGTGGACAGAGCAGGATGGAGTACCGCAGCCTGGAGCTAGGAGCACTGTGAGATGCTCTCTGTAATAAAAAGTCACTTTTCTTTAAATATACGAGTTCTTTGTTTCCCCCTCCATCTCCTCTTGAGGGCGGTATGGGGCACGTAGCCTCCAGGCAGGACAATGTGACAGCTGGTGCTGTGCCCAGCAGGCTGGGGAGGCCTGGGATGCAGTGGTAAGGCTGTATCCTGCAGGACATGAGTGCTTTTGGGGTTGGGCTGCCTGTCCCAATGGGGGGCACTGCAAGGAGCCCTAACCCGCATGGGGGTGGTGGGCTGAGGAACCTTGCAGCACCCACAAGGATGGGGCTTCCCAGAGGGCGCTGAGCACTGGGGCAGGACACTCTACCCAGCCTGGTGTCCTCCTTAGGGAGCTGTTGCTGTGTCCCCTCCTGACACCCAAACACCACCCACAGCAGGTAACGTTTGAAATAGTTTATTTGGACCAAGTGCAGGGTGCATGCAGCCACTCCGTGGCCAAAACCTGAGTGTGGGTTCACAGTGCAGGGGCTGCAGTGCCCCAAGCCAGCATGTGCCTCAGTTTCCCCTCCCAGCTCTGCATGGCGCTGTGATTCAGGGTGCAGACGGGGGCTCCTCGGTGCCATACAGCTTGCGGATGCTGGAATCCATCAGGAAATCCACAGACCTGCAGCAAGGTGACAGGCCCCTCACTGTCATCTCAGGGTCCCCTTGCAATGTGCCCCATCCACCCTCCTGCTGTCCCCAGTGTCACCCCACTAATCCCCAGTGCCTGCTAATCCCCTTTGGCTCCTCCATCCCCACTGCAGGGACGTGTCCCAAGCTCACTCCACGCCATCTCTTCTGGACTGCAGTGGGGATCACTGTGGCTATCCCCACTCATTCCTGTGACTCTCACCTGTCGATGGGGGTGATGATGACAGGGATGGCAGCCAGCCCCAGTGCGGTGGTGGCCCACTTTCGGACAGGCAGAGGCCAGCGGGTGAGGGAGGCCAGCAGGGCCAGCGAGGCGGCACACAGGCGGTTGATGGTGAAGCCTGGGATGGCCACCGAGGCCAGGCTCTGCCACACAAAGGTATCTGCCACTGCCACCCCCACCCGCCGTGCCCTGCTGGGGTCCTGAGCGTGGGTCTGTTGGGAGAGCAGAGCGGGTGTGGGATGGGGGGCATGTGGGGATGCGGGGGCTGCAGGGGGGGCCACTCACCGCCGCAGCTTTCCTGCCCTTGTCGATGGCATCGGCTGTCACGTAGGCTGTGGCCACCCCATAGCTGGCCCACACGGCTGCTACCGGGACGATGGGACGGAAGGACTCACCCACCTCGTTGGCGTAGCCTGGGGGGGCAGCAGGTGACAGGGAGGCGGCGTCACCCCAACTCCTAGGGTCACCTTGATCCCAGCGTTGGGATAGCGGGGGGAAATGTGATGGCAGAGGGCAGGGTCCGGCCCAGGGGTTTTAACGGGACAGGAACGCGGGGACGGAGCGTTCCGGAGCTCGGGGAGTGGCAGAGCCGACGCCCGGTACCGGCATTCGGAGCCAGTGCCGGTACCGAGAGCTCTAGCAGCATCGGTACTCAGCGCTCGCTGTCATGGTCGATACCGGGTTCCCCGTGCCAGCCCCGCTGCAACGTTCCCGATGCCAGCCCCGGTGCCGCAGCTCACCCAGGTAGCGGACCCACGTGTCCCGGTAGAGGTCGGGCTCCTCCGCCCCCATGGCGCGCTCCCGCCCGTGCCCGCTCGAAGCCCCGCCCCCATTTTACGTCACCATATCAGGCCCCGCCTCCTCCTTCCGCACACCGTCCTTAGCCCCGCCCACCTGGCCCCGCCCCCTTGCCCGGCTCTAAGATGGAGGCGGGGAAGTCAAAGCCGGGCAGCACGTGACCCGACCGCAGCCGCCACGTGGGTGGGATGCGCAGCCGGGATGCGGGGCTGTGCGGAATCGGCCTGGTTTGTGGGCGCACGGCAGGGGAAGGCGCGGGGGCCTGATGTGGGGCTGAGGGCCTCCGTAAGGGCTGAGGGAGGCAGCTGAGCCTGGGGCATGGGGCTGAGAGGGACAACGGGGTCTGGGTATGAGGCTGAGGGGACGAATAGGGTCTGGTGATGAGGGAAGCAGGGCCTGAGGATGGGATGGAAGAACAACAAACAGCCAAGCCATGTCACTGTCCATCTCTTTATTGCCGCCACCACACCTAGCCCCACTGCTGAGGCCACATAAGGCACAGAGGGGCCGACAACCCCGGGCACAGCCCCCCAGGTCCCTGAGCCACGGGGCACCAGCCCCCCTTCTTCCATCCTCTGTGCTGCCATCACAGGCTGTGCTCCAGGGCCACCTCGCCCAGCTTGTCCCCGAGCTGTTGGATCTGCTGGGCTGAGGTGGTGTCAGGCAGCAGCACCTCCACGCTGTAATTCACCTTCTTGGCATGGATGTAGCTGTAGGTGTTGTCGAAGCGCAGGACGTCTGCAGGACCAGGGGTGGGGGAGGTCAGGGCGCTGGGACAGACCACGGGGGTGGGGACGAGGGGCCACTCACAGATGCCAGGCGTGGAGCAGGTGAGGGAGCCGTCCTCGGGCACCATGTGTGCGTTGTAGCGCTGGGTGGGGAGCACCTCGGTCATGTCGCCTGCCCGCTGCCGCTCCCCGACCTTTGTCTTCAGGTACACCCCAAAGCCCACGTCGGCCCCTTCTGAATTAAACTGCCACCTGCCAGAGAGACCCGGGGTCACCGCTGCCTGCCTCAATATCCTCATCCCCATAGCATGGATCCCCCTCACCTGAGCACGCAGCCGGGGGCGAGGATCTCGTATTCCACCTGGTGGGATGAACCCCTGTTGACCATCGCTGTGTGCTCGTAGCGCTGTGCCAGCTGATCCCTCACATAGTACTGCTTTGGCACTTCCCCTCCGTAGTTGATCTGTAAAGGGATAGTTTTGGGCACAGGGCATGGCCATCCCATAGCCCTCACACTGCAGGGACCGCTCCTCACCTTGCTGGGGCACTTGGGGTTCCCATCAGGGTCTGTCAGTGTGCCCCCATACTCCACTGGGATCTGCGAGGGGTCGATGTACTTCTGCAGGACCTCCTTCCAGTTGGCTGTGGGATAGCGGGGCGTTCAGAGAGGCTGAGTCCCACGCGGGGACCTCAGCCTGAGGTGGGGACCCCCGAGGCTGCATGGGCAGGGTGAGGGTTACTGCAGCCCCACTCACATCCCAGCACCATGACTTTCTTGCGAGTGTCCTCGCTCAGGAAGTGCTTGACCAGGTTGTAGGCCACTGGGAAAATCTTGGGAGCTGGTGAGCAGAGCCGGGTGTCAGGGCAGCCATCCCAGCATGATGCCCAGCTGCACGCCCACACCTTGCTCACCCTTCACGATGAACAGGCGCTTCAGGGACTCGGGGTAATTCTCCTCGAACATCGCCAGGAGCTGCGGGATGGAGAGAGCTTTGCATCCACACCCTCCTGCCCCAAGCACTCCCTGGGGCAGCCCCATCTGCACAGGCTTTGCACAGGTGACGACCCTAAACACAGGCCCTGTGCACCTGCCCAAACTGCAGTGAGGCCTGGGACCTGAGTCGCAGCCAGTCCCTGGGTCACCCTGCAGCCCAACAAGGGATGAAGTTCTGACCTCAGCGGCCACTGTGGTCCCTCCAAGTCTCACCTCACCATACGCCTCCACCGCTGGTTTCCAGAGGTGCTTCAAGCCCAGGCCCTCGCAGTCGTAGACCATCATCACCATCTCAATCTTCTTGCCCAGCTGGGACAGGGACAGAGCCGTCAGGTGGGACGATGAGTTTATAGACCAAGAAGCATCAGCCACTGCCAAGTCCCTCCTGCCACCTGTTCCTGGTCATTGCCACCCCTGGGGCAGAGGGCAGCCCAGTGCCAGCCCCTTTTACCCCCAACGGGCCCAGTGCTTCCTCTGGAGCATCAGTGCAGGAAAAACATGTGGTGCTGGGACAGGGACACAGGTGGCAGCAGGGACTGTGTTTGGTGGGATGGGCAGGAACTTGTGCAGCTGGCATAAAGCAGGGCTGGTGACAGTGCATGAAGGGAAGGGGTGGTCTTGTGGGTTTGGTGGGGATATGGATGTGTGGGGACAGCCATGCAGGCGCCCACCTTCTGGCTCTGCTTCTCGCATTCCTGTCGCAGCAGCTCGCAGTCACGGAACTTGTTCTTGAGCAGGTCCTGCTTGGAGGCAGAGAAGAGCAGCCCCTTGGGGTCCAGCGGCCCAATGATATCGTACCAGACAGGGCTGCCCTCCCGGTCGTATCCACACATGCCTCCAGCCATGTACTTCCTGATCACCTGCGGGAGCACCGTCAGTTGGGGACGCCCACCTCAGGCTGGGGACACCCACCACGGGCCAAGGACCCCCACCTCAGGTGCCTCCCATGCAATGATGTTGTCGGCATCCATGCGTTTGCGGACCTCCACGTGCTGTGAAGGCAGGGCAGAGCGAGTCGGGGTGAGGGCACACGGGGTCTCAAGGACACCCCAGTCCCTCGGCCGGGCTCCCCCAGCACGGGGACTCCCTCACCTTGCGGAGCATGGCCTCTGACTTGGGCAGGTCGAAGCTGCGTGCTGCGAAAGAGCAGAGAGTGGAGCTCAGCCCCGCGCGGGGCGCAGCCGGGACATCGCCGCCGAACCTGCCGCCCTCTGCCCCGCTGCCAGCTTGCTAAAGTCCAGGTGAGGGCAGCACCTCGGCGTGGTGCCCGCAGCCCCCATGGGATGTCCCAGCCCCACCGCGCCCCCCGGGCTTACCTCGGAGCCATTTCAAGAGAAAATGATCGTCCTGCAAGGGCAGCGAAGGGAGCACGTCTTTGATGTTCTCTCGAAACTGCGGGGAGAAGGGGCACCACCATCAGAGGGGCTGGGGATGTGGCCTTGTGCCCAAAACCTGAAGTTTGTCCCCGGGGCAGCCGGCAGCACAGAGCAGTCTCTGATCCCCTGCCTGCTGCGGGAGGGTCCTCAGACCGGTATCCTCGTGTAAGGCAGCCAGCCCGTGCCCTCCAAAGCGAGGCGTCAGCCCTCTGCCCCCTGCGCGGCGCTCCGAGCTCCGGGCTGTGCACCACGCGGTCGTCGCACATGCCTCGGGCACCGCCGAGGTCGGCAGTGAGCAGGGATGCTGCCCTGGGGCAGGCGGTGTAAATCCCCCCATGCACCGTACCAGCCCGTAACGAGGCTGACCGGATTATCCCCGCCTGAATTTAGGTGTAATTAAACCCGGGATTAACTCCCTCACCCAGAGGAAAACAACACGGTCGCGGGCGGGTGGGAGGGGACAGGTTTCACAGCTCTTTGCATCAGGGTTGCAACCACGCAGTGTCCCTTCCCAAATCCCAACTGAGCACCGTGCCGTACCCGCCCAGGTCATCGCCCGCGGGCCGCAGTTCGGCGATAAGATAGCGCAGCCACTGTTGTACCCTCCGTGATCGATGCCCACAGAGGCCAATAAACCCCAGCATGGCTGCTGCAGGTGGGACGAAGCAAAGCCACTGGGTGTCCCCCAGCAGGTGACAGCCACCATTTCGGCTGGGCGCCCTCCACCCTGCAGCAATGCCTTCCCAGGCAGGGAGACATTCCACCACGCCACGTTTTTGCAGGATGGAAGCGTCGTGGGGGGGAGGGAGGCACGGCGCACATCCAGCGGTATCGCCGTCCCGCGGGACCTCCGGGTGCCGAGCTCCGTGCTGGGAACGGGGTGCAAGCAGAGCCCTTGGGATGCTCGCCGTGCAGGGGGAAGCAAAGCTGTGTCATCGGGCCTCCCCGTGTCCCGCGGATCCGCGTCCCGCATCCCTCTGCTGCCGGGTTCCGGAGGTGATGAGACCCCGGTCCCGGCGCCGTGCAGCCCGGGGGTCCCCGCGGACCCCATGGCCGAGGTGGGCGCATCAGAGCGCCCCGCGCCGCCGTCCCCCCGGTGCCGGTCTCACCTGCGCCAGAGCCTCCGCCTGCCGCGGGCTCAGCTCCCCGACGCGGCCGCTCATGGTGCCGGCGCCGGCCCCGCGCCCCCGGCGCCGCCTCTTAAGGGCGGCCGGGATGGAGCTGGGCGAGGCGGCTCCGCCCTGTGCCGCCTCCAGCACCCGGTGCCGGCCTTGGACTGTGCCCGGCACGGGTGGCCGCACGGGTACGGCCCGGTGTGCGGCTGGGACGGGGTGGGTGATGGGGCAGGGGATGTGGAGGGACGGGGTGGGAGATGGGGATGGGGATGGGGACAGGTGGAGATGGGAAAGGGATGGGGGCAGGGGATAGGACATGGGGTAGGGAGTGGTGGGGACAGGGTGAGAGATGCAGACAAGGGTGGGCATTGGGACATTGGGACAGGTGGAGATGGGACAGAGGTCGTGACATGTTGGGAGATGGGGACAGGAGACGGGGATGGGGATGGGCTCTAGAGTAGGGGATAGGTGGAGATGGGACGGCAATAGGGGCAGGGGATAGGAGATGGGGTAGGGACTGGTGGGGACAGGGTGGGAAATGGAGACAGGAGTAGGGATGGGGGTGGGCACTGGGGCAGGGGACAGGTGAAGGTGAGATAGAGATGGAGGAGGGGAAAGGAGATGGGGGCAGGGGTGGGAGATGTAGCAGGGGAGAGGTGGAGATGGGACAGATGCAGACAGGGTAGGAGATGGGGCAGGACAGAGATAGAGACAAGGATGGGCATTGGGGCAGCCAACAGGAGGTGGGGACATGGATGGGCACTGGGACAGGGGACAGATGGGAACAGGAGGCAGAGATGGGGACGGG